CTGCTATTAAATTGTAGTGAGACCAGCTTTATGAGAATTCTTCTAAAGCATGGCTTTAGCAATGTCAAGGCCATGGGTTCAATCCAGAAATGAAAATCTATAACTTAAATACAATGTAAGTCACCTTAGATGAAGCATTTGCCAAATGCACTTAAATGTAAATGATGTGTATACTGTGTATACAGATCATTATGAACGCATTTTATATGTATTTGTTTTTTGCTAAAAAATAAGAGCAATTAGACAGATATATATTAAGTGGGGTTTGATTGAAATCATTTAAATTTTTTTTTGTGATAATTTAGTCCTCCCCAATTCAACCTTGTCACCCAGCCTGCACTTTGAATGACTTGCCAGTAATTATTAAAGGGGTCATATGATGCTAAAAAGAACATTATTTTGTGTATTTGGTGTAATGAAATGTGTTTATGCGGTTTAAAGTAAAAAAAAACACATTATTTTCCACATACTGTACATTATTGTTTCTCCTCTATGCCCCGCCTTTCTGAAACGCTTCGATTTTTACAAAGCACATCGGTCTGAAAAGCGAGGCGTGCTCTGATTGGCCAGCGATCCAGTGCGTTGTGATTGGCCGAATACCTCAAGTGTGTGACAGAAATGTTATGCTCCTCACCATACTGTGATGCCGTTTCCCAGAGTGACGAGACAAAACCAGTAAAACCCATTATAAACGAGGCATTTGTTGCATCCAGTGGGGACATAATTACAGATTATAATGACTTATACTGTCTTTTTACGAGTGTTGTAAATACAACTTAACCACTGATTTCTAGTTGTATCCTCTTTTGGAAGGCTAAACAAAGTAGTTTAGCTTTCGCAACGAAACACACAGCGTCTTCATGACATGGCTGCGGCGGCAAAAATACTACAGCGAGAATCAAAGTTACGCCTTCTTTCTTTGCATGAACATTTGGGCGGTGTTATGCAAATATTCCAACACAGTGACGTAGACATGTGGGGGCGTGTTAGAACGAGGTGTTTTAGGAGGGCGTGGACAAGTCTTAACTTTTATAAAGAATATCTCTTTGGGTTTGAGACTTTAGTCTTTGCAACTTTAGGGATCTTATCTATTCACGAACAGCTTGTAACACTCCAAAGAAAAAGGAAAACTTGAAATCGCATCATATGACCCCTTTATCATAACGATACTTGTTTTCTCTAGTTGAATCTTAATTAAATAAATATTCAACAGTTTTGGGTCAGTATTTTTCCAAGAGTAAATACTTTAGGTGACAATAAAGACATTTATTGACTGTATTCACAAAAATATTAATACTGATAACAATAAGAAATGTTTCTTAGCACCGACCAAATCAGTATATTAGAATAATTTCTGAAAGATCGTGTGACGCTAATCGCAGCTGAAAATTCAGCTTTTCCATCACAGGAATAAATGACATTAATATTGATAATTTAGTATATTACATCAGAAATAATTTATTGTAAATTGTTTTCATATTTTACAATTTTGCTGTTTTAACTCTAATTTTTATATAAATGCAGCCTTGCTAAGTATAGAGCTTCGAATTAAAAAAAAAAATCTTACTTTGACTCCAAACTTCAACTGAAGTGTTGATAAGACAGTTCTAGTCTGATTGGTAAATACTGCATTCTGGCTCTGCTAAAATACACAATATAGTAACGGTTATGACATGAAAGGTATTCACCTAACTGTTGAGTATATGACTAAACAGTGGCAACATCTATGAACCTATATCTTCTAATGCAGAAGCTTTTTGATGCCAAGGACCCCTAAATATAGCTTTCCAATATGCACATTTTTTTTAATAAAAACTAGTTTACACTGTGTGTGAAATGATTATATACAGATATTGAAACGTACTGTATTTAAAAGCCTTGACCACCACAGACCTTGACATTTTATAAATGCATTTGAAGTTGGAAAATGCTTTCTAGAATGATTATATCATATTTGGCCATTCATTTAAAAAGTTGCTGGTTAGCTGCTTTTGTTTACAAGCAGTTTTTGAACCTCTTAATGCATTTGTTTCCAATAGGGCATTTTATTTGTGATTATTTGAATGTGCTTTTCCTCAAGAGAGTTGCTTATAGCTGCTCTTTAGAAGAGATACAGAATGAATAATATTTGCAGTTTTTTCCTGTTAATGTCTCACTGTAAATGAAAGGCTTCCTGTCGATTGTGCATTAGGCTGCATCATGTTTCAGTATCGATGACTGAGGAGTTCAAAATGACTTACATCAACAGCTTCCTGTTGATGATTCGACAGCACTGAACTTGTCCGCCTTCACCATGTCCGTGTATCCCGAGGGAGACAGTCCTCTACTTCAGCTGCAGGAAGTGGACTCCAGCAGGTTGGGAGGTCATGTCCTTTCTCCTGCCTTTAACTCCTCTTCTCCATCTCTGCCGGTGGAGAGCCACCCCATCTGCATCCCATCACCCTACACAGATATCGGCCATGACTTCACCACTCTGCCCTTCTACAGTCCCGCTCTGCTGGGTTACGGCACATCGCCTCTGTCTGACTGCCCATCGGTGCGGCAGTCGCTAAGCCCCTCCCTCTATTGGCCACCTCATAGCCACGTTTCCTCAATTGCATTGCATCAGCAACAGACTCGACTACAACAAAACCATCCAACTGGTGGGAGTTGGGCAGAACTTACACCACATGATCACAGCGAAGAGGAAAACTGGTATGTGGAAACTCAATTATGTTTTATTTCAGACAATTACATAATACTGGCTCAGATGCATGTGTCTGCTTTACTTTATAGCAAACCTCTGGCGAAGAGGGTAGCAGATGCAGAGGAGACTTCTACCTCTTTGAGAGGTAAAGCTGACATGCACTACTGCGCCGTCTGTAGCGATTATGCCTCTGGGTATCATTATGGCGTGTGGTCATGTGAAGGATGCAAAGCCTTCTTCAAGAGAAGTATACAAGGTATTGTTCTCTGAAATTACTCCTGTGCTTTGATGCGTGCTTATTATTAGGGATGCACTGAAATTGAACATCTGATAATCATTTTCATGTTATGACCTATAATCAATCTTAAAATTCAATTAGTCTAAATTAATACAAAATAAAACACTAAAAAATGAAATCAGTCATTTTAATGTTATGGCCAATAATCGATAAATGACTGATAGTAAAATTCAATTAGTATAAAATTAATCAAAAATAAAACACTAAAAGCAAAAAATTACCAATAACCAATAAATGGCTGATATTTACTGTAAATTCCAGCCGTCTGAGTTAATTAAAAATAAAAGCTAAAAGCTCATTTTGAATTCTTTAATTATTTATGCAAGTATTTATGCAAATGTAGGCTTCCCAGCATTATAATGTAAAGTATGAAAAAGTGATATTCATTTTGTGAGATTTGCTAAAGATTACATTTAACATTGTTTTTCAATTTAAAGATTAAGTGTGTATTTTGTTGATGATGGGTAATCTAAATGTAAAAATAGGGAAATTAGCATGCTTATGTTATATAAAATAAAATTTACAGTTTTGGTAAATAATACTGATATACTGTACTTTCCATCCCTACTTTAAAATTTAAGATTAAAAGTTGAAATCTCCCACTAACATTGCTAGAATTTTCAGCATTCAAAATGGAACTGAGAGTGATGGGTCAAGGTGTCATCATAAATTTGCATTTGTGATTGGACTTTTATATTGGACTTTAATATGTGATTGCATGCTGAATTGTCAACGGTCTTGTCTTCCTTGCATGTATTTAACCATAATTAGCCATCTTTACAGTGTATAAAGATGCCTTGACAGCCACATTATCCTTCAGAAATGGTAATTTAACTCTGGAATAATTGATTCTAATGGTTCTAAACTATTTTTTTTTCATTGTTCCAGACAGCCAATGTTGTAAATAGCTGTGCTAGTTTAATACAGTCCATAAACATAATAACAGACGTGTTTGACTGCAACTGCTCAGTGGATAATAAGGAACATCTGATTCATTTTCTCAGGACACAATGACTACATCTGCCCTGCCACCAACCAATGCACCATCGACAAGAACCGCCGCAAAAGTTGCCAGGCCTGCCGTCTACGAAAGTGTTATGAAGTTGGAATGATGAAATGTGGTGGGACTCTTTCGTTTTCCATTCCTCCCTATCAACACCCTTTCTACACCCACACAGTTACCAAATACTTCATCTGAGATTACTGCTGAATTTTGTCCAAAGCCATGGACTTTGGAATTTATGTCCCAATATTAAGCAGCTATCATGCCGTGAAGTTTTGATATGCGTGACATTGTAATGACAATGTGATAGAGCCCTGATTATAGATGCTGGTTAAAGGCTGCACCAAAACATCCCAGATAAATGACTCATCATACAAAAGATTTCACATATTAATAATTCACACATATTTGAGCCAGACAGTCTTGCATGTTGTCTTTTGAGCTGTGTGTGATCTTGGATGGCTTGTTCCTCCAAAAAACAGTGCTAGTTGAATTAAGTCTGTCTCCACAGCAACACCGACTTAATTCAACTAGCACTGTCTTTTTGAGCTGTGTGTGATCTTGGATGGCTTGTTCGTCCAAAAAACAGTGCTAGTTGAATTAAGTCTGTCTCCACAGCAACACAGACTTAATTCAACTAGCACTGTCTTTTTGAGCTGTGTGTGATCTTGGATGGCTTGTTCCTCCAAAAAACAGTGCTAGTTGAATTAAGTCTGTGTTGCTGTGGAGACTGTTACCATCTATCCTCATTCGGTCTTGTAATTGTTGTTTTAGGACAGTCTACTTTCACAGCTTTGCTTCAAGGTTAGAAGAGAAAGGCCTGTACTCTCATCTCATTGGCTGATGTGGTTGTTTTGAGCTCTGTATCAAATGTCATATCAAATACACAGTTTTGCTTTGCTTTCTGTTCAAAGAAATTTTGGTTTAAACTAGTGGTTCTCAACCTTTTTGGCTCTTTGTCCAACACATTCTTAATATGAATATATTAATAAAAATGTATGAATTTGAGTATAATCCTGTAAACCCGCATGGATAAGGTTGAAGTGAATTGTGCAGTTACATGGAATTTTTTCACAGGGTTACGCCGAGATCGTGGCAGCTACCAACAAAGAGGAGCACAGCAGAAGCGATTGGCGCGATTCTCTGGCAGGATGAGAACATGTGGCCCGAGATCCCAAGAAATCAAAAGTGTCCCATGTCCCCTCGGTGGAAATAAGGTGGTTAGCATAGCGTTGAGCCCTGAGGAACTAATCGCTCGAATCATGGATGCAGAGCCACCCGAGATTTTCCTCATGAAAGACGTGAAGAAGCCATTCACTGAGGCCAATGTCATGATGTCACTGACCAACCTGGCTGATAAAGAGCTCGTTCACATGATCAGCTGGGCCAAGAAGATCCCAGGTGAATGTATTACCAGATTCATAAGAAAAAACGATTCAGTTATAACACTAGCTCAGTGTGTTACTACATGTCTGTTTCCAAAAACACAAATCTGCCTAACTGCAAATCCACATGGACAAGAGCTCGTCAGTCATTGCGTCAATTTGTAGACCAAACCCGCAAAGCTGAATCACTATGGATTCCCCTGGAATTTCGAATGGGTTTTTAAAATAGCATTTTTCGATTTATGAGTACAGTAAGGGATGTGGTTAACATTACTTGAAGAGAATGTGTCATCTTCTGAATTTAGAACGAATTACAATTATTACATAAGGTTCAAACTAACTTTATAGTTAAGCTGTGCTTTTAAAATGTTGCTAACAAGTTGCTGCATGAGGAGTACAACAGTTGAGCTTCACTTCATTCATCAAGCATGTAAACTCAAATGTTTGTTCTGTATAGCAATTTGAACATTGTAAGCCATCAATCAAAACTCACTATTCTAAAAAGCACATTAGAAATTCCTGAGGGAATATGTGGCTCAATAATGCTAATTCACTTTATAGTTTAGGACTGCAAAAATATCTTAATATTGAACTTTTGTAGTGGATGGATTAAATAGATTTAACATTAAACTTAATGTTTAATGTACACACACACACACACACACACACACACACAC